CTCATCAACAAGGCATAAGGGCACAACTCTTAAACATAATTAAAGAGTGATAAATATGAGAGTATGACAAGGCTATATGCTCTGAAATACCATGCCAAATGATACCATATCATGCAAATAGCTCAAATAAAGCATGCCAAGGTGTTCAAAACTCAAGACTAGCTAAGGCACTTGCACCATAGTCATACTAAACAATGCTCAAAGGACCAAGATCACTCAAAACAGTCCTAAAGCATGTCAAAACAATGCTAGAAACATGATAGTGTAGTCAAAACAAGCTAGAATGGTAAGCCAAAACACTAAGCATGCAAGGCTAATGAGTGGGATTACATTACAAGTACCAAAACCAAGCAAGATGTGACCCCACCAACCAAAATCAGAGTTGTAACATGGCAAAGTAAGACCAAAAACATGCTGGAATGGTAGCCCAAAAGCTTAGAGAAGCATGCATACAAACTAGCTCATGATCAAGGCATAAGGCACAACTCTCCAAAAGCATTGAAAGAGTGACACATGTGAGAGTATGACTATGCTATACACACTGAAATCATGTGAGAAGTGAAGCCAAAGCATGAAAATAACTTAAGTGAAGCATGCTAGAGACTTTGAAACTCAAAGCTAGTCAAGGACTTTTACACTACAACTACACAAAGCAAGCCTCACATGGCCAAGACCACTTGAAACAGAGCTTAAGCATGTTAAAACAATGGCAAAAACACACTGAGATGGAGCCAACACAAGCTAGGATGAGAGGCATAAAGCATGAAGCATGTTAGGCCAACAAGCATGATTGCACTACAAGTACCAAAAGCATGCAATAGGTGACCAAACCAAGCCAAAATAGAGTTATGCCATACTAAAATAAGACAAAAAATGAGCTAAGAACAAGCCAACACATGCTGGAAAAACATGCTCACTAATTAGGCCAACAAAGCATGGAACCAAGAAGCAAGGAAGGGAGGCCACCCCCTCCTATTTTGGACTTCAAAACATGGTTTCTACCACTGAAATTCCTCTGAGTTTCAATGGTAGAAAGGCCAAACAAAGAGTGCCTCCAAGGCTTTAAAAGAAGGCACCAACCTCAAGCAAATAAGGCACATAAGAGGGTGAAACACCCCCAACACCAAAGAGGCCTTAAACAACCTTTCTTAACATTTAAAATCAGAGCTTTTTGTAGTTAACAACCAGGCCTAAATCAGCATGCAAAGGTGGCCAAATACTTATTCAAAACAAAGCTTTAAAAGGAATATATGCTTACCCTTGAAGAACAATGGCAAGGCAGCAACTTCAACAACAATTTTTGGACCAAAACCAATGCTAGGACCTCAAAACAAGCTCCAATGGACTTCAGCTCCAAAATGAAGGTTTTTGAGTAGGTGCTTGTGTGCAAAAGTGTGAAGAAACAACACTTTAAGGCTCAATATAGCACAAATATATAGAGAGAGTGAGAATTCTAAAAAGAGAGGGATATATTTTGCTCTGAAATCTCTCAACCCTTGGAGGATGAGTTCAGTGAGCCACAGCTGGCTCAAAATATCTACAAATATCTAAAAAGGAGAAAAAGTGGCTACCGGCCAGTTAATTGGTCGGTCGGCCACTTCCCCTAGCCGGCCGGCCACTTAAAGTGGCCTACAAGAGAGAAAAGTGGCCGGCAGCTGCCAAAAGTGGCCGGCAAGGCCCTCTCCTCCCCCTAGGCAAGAGGCAACAAGGTTGGGCCCAAAAACCAAGGCCAAAACACAAAGGGTTAAGAGGCTCAAAGCTAAGGCACCCAGCCGAGACTTTCGGGCGCTCAAAACAAGTACAAACATGGGCAATCATCGCGTGCGCAAATGATGACGTCTGAGTCTTAAGGTCGATCAAAAATGGGGTGTCTACACATCTGTTTGTAGTTCTTTCCGATGTACAAGAAAAAAAAAATGTGAGTGGGTGAATAATGAGTGGTTGTTGGTGAGTAAATGATGGATGAATAATGGATGATCGTTGGTGGGTGATTGCTGGTGAGTGAATAATGGTGGTTTAGATTGGTGTGTATTAAATAATGGTGAATAGGTGGATAATGGGTCAGAATTATAGATATCTCTTCAGAACTAGTGGGTAGGTAGTTGGTAAGTTTTATTTTTGAATTTTTAATGCAATTAATATTTTTTTTTATTTTGAATTGGTGTGTGAGTGGCGGGGTGAATTATATTTATATATTTTCTTTCAATTTTTTGATTTTGTTTAATTTTTTATATTTTTTTAGTCAAATAGAATGTAAATAAATAATTTTTAAATTTTTTTTAAAAGGTCATAAAAGATTAAAAATAAATAAATAAATAAATAAACCACTTAAAAACCTATATCCAAACATCACCTACAAAATTGAAGAAAAAATTAATTAAAATTTGCCAAAATAACTTTGCACTATTGAAGCACCAAAGCTGCAATTTAGCAATTTGCTATCATAGTATATCAAATTATAACTTTGGCAATACTATAATAGCATAAACCAAAGGAGATGCTCTTAGCTACTGGTTTGGCCTCTTTGCGTTGTTACTGATTTACTGACAGATTTCAATTCAGTTACCAGGTATACTGGATATGGAGAATTCTTTTGAAGTTAATTGTATAATAATAAAAAACAGTTCACTAGAATATGCATAGGTTGCAAATAATTGTGGTATTCGGTCAGATGTTCTTAATAAAGAAATTTTAAGTTGAAATCATAATAGAAGCAACCTATTAGATAAATGTCTAATGGGCTTGTCCGAGGCAATGTTTTGAAACGTTGGCCAAACTAAAAAAGGGACCGGATTAAAAAATGTTTGATTTTAATTTTTTAAAAATTAAATTTTATTTTTTAAATTTTTTATTTTTAGTGAACATTTTTTAAATTTTAAATTTTTTTTTTTACTTTTTTTAAATATACTTTACTTAAATTTATTTAAAAAGTAAAATGTGTAAAAAAATAATAAATATACAAGAATATAAAAAATATATTAAATTTTTATATTTTTGATATTTAATGAATTTTTTTAAAAAAAATTCACAAATATTATCCTTTTAAAGTATATTTATATTAGGTGTATCTAAAAAATTTAAAAAATTACTTATAATATTAAAAAAAATTAATAAAAACAAAAAAATACAAAAAATAAAAAGTTACGATTTTCTAAAAAATAAATTTAAAAAACTCAAACCGAATAAGCTGATTATTATCCCCAATTGGAGAGGCTAGAAAGGCAAAATCTGCTTATATTTTACCTACCAGAAGAGTGAAGAAGGTGACCCAGTACAAATTACCAGTATTAGTGGCTTTTAGTTAAAGGCCATAGCAGTTCATTTGCAGACTATTTTTTTTTTTTTTTCCATGCCAGAATTACATGAAGTATTAAAATCTGTTAAGGTTTTCAATGCCAAGCAAGAAATCATAATCAATAACAACTTATCAAAAAATCTAGGGTAAATTACACCCCTCTTTGAGATTTGAAAAAAAATACAATTAGTCCGATATTTTGACATAATTACACCGACCTCTGCAATTAAAAATGCAATCTTATAATCAGCTATAGCACAAAATTTAGTCCCAGGTCTTGAGTTTGACTCCCCTCAAGGCCAACCATCACAAGATAATACACAAAGTTGCACAAGCCATACTGGATACCCAGTGTCAAGAGTGAGTTCAATCTCCGCCACCGCTACTTGGTTGGGCTTTTACAAGGCACAATTTGTTTGGCACTGTAGTTGATAGTACACTCTCCAACAGGATTCAATAATTTCCATCACAAGTTGAGCATCTCCCAAAAATCAGAAGTCCACAAGCACTAAAATTTGACCTTGATTGTTCTACCAAGGCTCCGACTGGAGCTTGCAAATAGTTTGTGAAAAAGAGACATGCATAACAAAGATGTAAATTGTTTTCCTTCGTGCTTCATGCTTAAAAAGCTTGTAAAATTAAAATTTCTATTAAAAAAAAATCAGATATCAAGAATAAAGATAAAATCACCATGGCAACAAAACCAAGGAAACAAAAATATTTCCTTTTCCTAACCAATCCATGAACCAGTTTAAGCCTAAAACAAACCAAAAAAGAAAGCAGCACCCTCGAAAACTTCAATACTTTGCATCCAATAATCTTCAAGCTTGAATCAAAACAATTTTCAAGATTAACGATGTTTACACGATTTCTCAAACAAGTTGACTGATGTTAAAACAAATCAATTATAGAAAACATTGTCCGAACACACCACCAGAATTACTGATAGCATTGTCTATAAACCTAGAAGGGGGAATCTCACAGTGAAGTGCGCTCCTGATCACGCGCAAAAAAAAAAAAAAACATTAAGAGACATCACAACCAAAAACACAAAAGGCATCAGCCCAAGACTCTGTTCTGATCTTCAATTTGTGGAGAGATTTATGAAGGGAAAAGAAGGAAAAAAAAAGGCTTCTAAACTATTTCTCTTTCCCCATTCATTTTCTTTTCTCTACAAATCCAAGATCCAAACAGACCTAACATAACTGATAATCTAAACCAAAAACAGATTAAAGCTTTATAATTATCTAAAGCAGGTAGCTACAAATCTATTGGCCTCCAGCTTTCTTGGAATTCCATACTCCACCTATGCAAGGAAAAATTCCAATGCAGCTTTATCTGCTTTTCAACCAATTGTGCTTCTCAGAAAAATTCTAGTTTGCCCTCCAGTACTGTTTAAATTATTGAGCCTACCCTTCCTGTTTAGAGGCTAATCCAATTGAAATATGATTATACCAATCTTAGAATTAGACCGAGCAGAGGACTTTGCAAGTTCAGCATTACAAAAAATCTCTGTAGCCTACAAACCCTAGCTTGCACTGCATGCCAGAAAGATAAATGATTCATAAACTGGCTAGTAATATAAACACACATGCAGTCCAATTGCACTGAAGTTCTTAGAATATATAAGTGATTTTGGGTGCTAACTGCTAAGACGTAGTTCCTGCCACACAAAAAGTAATGCTGCAGAAAACATGCAACCAAATATTGTAACTAGAACCCATAAACATATAGCAGTCTAGCCAATGGGAAAGTAACCGGGCAATCTAGATATAGAAGAAAAACCCGAGTCAACAAGCATCTACAATAAATGCCCTCAAAAAGTAATTAAAATTCCAGGACAAAATATGTCTAACTAGTACAGACAATCATAGGCATATATAACTAGATTGATGATCTAGATCCGGCTGTCTAATTCATACAGCAACAGAAACAAACTAAAGGCTCTTCTGATCTTCTAGACAGTGGTGCCCACTTGTAGTAAGCGCTTTAAGTGTCTACTGAACTCCAAACCAGAAGTTGCAATACACCGAGAAAATCAAGACACCTGTGTGCACTCCCTACAGGAAAAGCTTAGCAATGTCTACCTCGCGTAAGGATGGAATCGACTACCGCCACTATAGCCTGCCCTACTTCCATACAGCCCCCCTGCTCCACCATAGCCAGCACCGGGTGCAGAATCATAACCAGAACTAGATCCTGATCCACCATAACTGCCATAGCCTCCTGCACCTCCACGGCCATATCCACCTAATCCACTCCCACCATATCCCCCACCAAACCCTCCCGCGTAGGAACCAAAGCGACTAGAATGGCCAAGTGAAGGCTCTCCCCGATAACCCATGTAATCACTACCACCAAAGTCACCATAACGCCCACCAAATTCACTACCTCCACCATAACCACCATAATCACCAAGCCTACCACCAAGCCCTCCAAGCGTCCTATAAGAAGCAGGGCCAAAACTGCCACTGCCGAAACCACTATAAGAGTTGCCAAATCCACCAAAACCATCAGGTACATCACCATATCCGCGGCCCCTATAATCACTACCATATGCAGGAGCAGGTGCTGGGTTTGAGGATTTCTTTGGTTCTGCCTTCTTGATCTCAACCTACAACAAAGAAGTAAGTTAACCTAGGATTTCCACCTGCAAATTATTTTGACAGCTAGGAACAACTACTAAATTAAACCTATAAGCTGCTAATTAATGAAAGTTCAAATTCTACAAGTTGACCTTCAGATAATACAGGCTAACCGGGTGAGATTGAACCAATAGTTCTCATGCTACGAATATGAAAAGCAACTAAAGTGTAATGCTGTATTGCTGGTTTGAACACATCAAACCTATGTCCATGAACATATGATATCTTGGTGATCAGCTGGACTGAACTCACCTGTGAGCCTGACATATCAATCATATTTCCATTGCTTAAGACATTATCAACAACTTGTTCATTGTCAAATACAACAAATCCAAAGCCCCGGGAGCGTTTAGTCACGTGATCTCGTATGATCTCATGTTCCACTACCTTCCCATAATTTGAGAAGAAATTCTTGAACTCCTCTGCAAAACAATTGCCACAATTTCGAAGTGTAGGGCAAAAGGAGAACAAATTTAACAACTACAATGAGAGCAATGGTAGACGGAGAACATGCAAAATTAAAGTTTCAAATCCCAAACGACTTATTAGATTTAAAAAAGAGTAAACTGCCATACCTTCTGTAACAGCAGTTGGTATCCCACCAACAAAAATCTTCTTCGTTTTGAAATCCCTGGAATCGGAAGAACCTTTTGGAATTGTTCTTTTGATCTCAACCTGCTCACAAATATTATCGTGTAAGTTGCAATATCTAAACCTTCCTTTTTCACAGACACGCTGAGTATTCTTTTCCTTTCTTGTAACATTTATAGAAATCAAGCAGAAAATGTTTCCCCATTGGTCAGTGAGATGTCATGAGAAAGGAAAACAAGCCGGATTACCCATTTCACACAATTTTTTGGCCTTCCTATACATAGATGCGTGTGTGCTGGACGGACATTTTAGGCAATGCTCTGCCAACTTGACTCAATTTCATAATTTATTAACATACTATCCTGTTATGTACTTTCTAATGAACTTGGACTGTGACGCATGAGGTAGCGCAACTTACTGGCCGGTCGCACTCTATCCTGCCAGTGTGAGGATTGGGACTTCACAATTGAAGGTAGTTAAAATATAGAATTTGAGAGAAAAAAAATTTCAATTGTTTTTTACCCTCAATAGTAAAATGTGGAATTATCTAATGTAAACTAGCAACCATCCAAAAGGCTTTCAATTATTTGTTGCTTACTAGGCATTACCAAATTTGATTTTTCACACCAACATAATGTTTATTTACTTCAAACCCACTTAGACCATCTCCAACCCTTCACCAATTTTTTCATCTAGTTTAATTCCAAATTTGAGTAAAAAATTTGATTTGATATAAACTACTCCAATCGTTTCATCATTTTTTTTTTAAATTCCCCTCTTATCCCAAATTTCCCATTTCATCAAATTTGATAGGAAAAAAAAAAAAAAAAAAATCATCTCCAATGCTTCGTCTTTTTAAATTTTCATCAAATTCAAATTTGATAAGTTCTCAATTTGATGAAATAAATACTCTCCCTTGATTAGATGAACATTGGATGAAAGAATTGGGGATGATTTTTGAATACTTTATCAAATTTGATGAAAAAAAAAAGATCAAGGATTGGAGATTCTCTTAGAATATCAAGGAAACGTCCCAAATTCAAATTCCATGTTTTCCATTTCTATTTTCCTGAGTTTTCTAGGCAGTCAAAACAGCATAACCGGACAAATTACACAAAGAATCTCTTCCAAATTACATAAACCTATACCTAAAAGCTCATCACCCACCTGCTTGTCATTGATGATATGGGTTTCAGCAATGACAGTGTCGACAACAGACGGATCAGCATAGGTGATAAACCCAAATCCCCTGGGTCGACCCGTGTGCCGATCTTTCATTATAACCGAATCAGTTATCTCTCCATACTTCCCAAAGTATTTCGTGAATTGATCTGTAATCAAAACCACCACAAATCAATCAAAGTTCGAAGATTTTTGGGGAAAACAAAACAACCCAAATCGAAACAAGAATAAGCTAACCTAAAGTAGCATCTTTGGCTAATCCTCCGATGAATATTTTCCTGTAACATATATAAAATATATAACCAAAACCCCTAATCAGCTACAAAAACAACAAATTCATATATATATATATATAGAGAGAGAGAGAGAGAGAGAGGACGAACCCTGGACTGGCACCATCGCCGAAATGTGGATTGTCGGACTTCCTGGAACCCATGGAGTTTAAGCTCTTTGAGATCAGAGCGAGTGTGAGATTGCGAAAGCTTGAGGCAAATCGGTTTTAAACCAGTGGGTCGGAACAGAACGGGTGACTTCGTAGAGAGAAAGCTAGGGTTAGGGCATGTTGTTCATGAGGCCTACTAATATAGTGGTTGTATGTGCGGAGCGATTTGGTACCGTTTAAAAGTAAAATTGTAAGGCCTCGTTTGGGGTGTATAAAAAAAAGTCAAAAAAAATTAAAAAATTATTAAAAAATAAATAAATAAGTTATTATTATTTATAAATTAAAAATATTAAAAAATTAAAATACATAATATTTTAATCAAACAAAATTTACACAATTTGCACAACTGAAATGACCCTGTACTACCGTGAGAGGGGAAAAAATAATTACATATATAAAAGTACCATGTTTGACGGAAATGTTGGGCCCGTGGGGGCCCACCACGGGTCCTGTTTTGATAATCCGAACCGTCAATATGTAGAATTCGTCCAAAACTATATGCCTATAAAAAATCACGTTGATCGAAAATTGGTAACTACATGATCAAATAGTTTTGTATAAAAAATAGATGGTGTTATAGTTAACAGTTAACAAGAAAAACTAACACAATCAGATAGCTATTGATATCTATTCAACGTGATTTTCAATATGCATATAGTACTCGACGAGTTCTACACATTAAACGGTTCTGATTAGTAAAACGAGACACGTGGTGGGCCCCCATGGGCCGAACAGCACCGTCCACTTTATGCCCAAAAAAGAGAGAATCAATCTCCTACACTATACCCTCTACCGCGCTGCCTCTCATGCTTCCAACCGTACGAGCTATTTCATCTATAACTTCCCCTATACACTTATTTACATAATTTTTTTATAGACATTTTTTCATAAAAAATCAAAAAATTAACTCAAACATCCATATTTTTTCTCTCAACTTTTTAGTTCAAAAAGACAAAAAGTACACTTATTTAGGACACACCAAACAACCCCAATTTTGTAATTGTCGGATTGATAAATAATCAAAGGTAAATTTGATCATAAATTTCTCCTAATTTTTTTCTTTTGTTAAAAAAGGTGAAAAAAAAATTAGTATTTTTAAAATTTCTTATAATTATAAAGTTTTATATAAAAGATAAAATTTAGAGTGCTGCTATTAGCACCTCATAAATTATTTTGGACTCCTAATTTTTAGCTTTTTTTAATTACAATAATAACCTCAAATAAAATTACTACAAAGGACATCATTGATATTGAGACACTCCATCTCACAAAATTCCAGCGATAACGGTGGCAACCATTTAATTACCTACACTTCTTCGGCAATGAAAATGAGTGGAAGTTTGTTTAGCAACCACAACTCCATAAGACAAGAAGAGTACAACAATAAAAGCTTAGAGAATGTTCATATCTTTAATGATGTTCTTAGCTCAGAGGAGATATTAGCTTTGTAAGGGTAAGTTTCTTAAAAAAAATGACAAAAATAAAAAAATCTATTCATCATTTTTGCAGGACTGAACTCCCCGAACATATGACCGAAATTCAGAAACACAAGCCCGAACATTGTTTATTTGTTCGAGAAGCAGTAACCGAACATTTATTATTTGTTCAGAAATAGATAACCAAACGTTATTTATAGGTTTGGACCTGTTTTACTGAGAAAACTAAACCAATTATTATAATTTTTTTTCTGCAAGAGAAGAAATTATTTTGAGAAAACTAAGAAATTATGTATATATATATATAGAGAGAGAGAGAGAGGGAAAGAAGAAAGAGAGAGCATACCAATTGTGGCAATGGTGGATGAGACAACAGAGACAGTAATTACATTGCCTTTTTTTTTTCTTCTTCTTCTTCTTCTTCTTTTTCTTCTTCTTCGTCTTCTTTTTTTTGGAAGTGAGTTTTTTTTCGGTGTAGGAGGTGTACATTTAATGGATGAAATATTTTCACAAAAATATTTTTGGTATTATTTGAAAGGGAAAAGAAATTTTAAGGGTTTCAAAATTTATAAGTCGGGGGGTCCAAAGTAATTCATAAGATGCTAATAGCACTACTCAAAATTTATTATTTTAATATTTTATTGACTATTATATCCTATTTTTCTTCTTTTTCTTTTATAGCACTCTCTGTCTTCATTACCTCGATAGTTGTTCATCACTTCCACCATCTTCATCGTCTACCAACGTCACTCATTCTCACTGTCGGTCGGCGACCACCATTTTTACCATCAAACAACCACCATGTCAAATTTGATACATACTAACTCATATTTGAGATTAATAACTTTAGATTTGGGATAAATAAACTTAGATTTGACAAAAATTTGAGAAATTGAGATATTGCAATGAAAAATCAAGAGTTTTTTATTTGTTTGTTCACATATCTAAAAGTAAAATTTAATTTTGGTTCGTTCATTTAGTATATACTTTATTTTTTATGACAGTAAAATTTTACTCTAATTAACAACATGCTGATCTGCTTAACAATAATAAAATTTACTCTAAAACATGTTGCGATGATGCTTTTACAGAAGAGGGTTACGCCATGAATCAAAGTAAAATTTTATTGTTTGAGGAACAGAGCATGATGAGAAGAAGAGAGAAAAATAGGGAGACATAGTTCAAAAAGAGAGCATCATGAGAAGAACAAGAACAAGAACAAGAACAAGAACAAGAGAGAGAAAGAGTAAACATGGTGAGTGACATATACGCACACATATAAAGTGTAACAACCCCGACCTGTGATTAACTGTTAAACCATGATTAAGAATGCCTAATAAGTAATTAAGAGGAAATTTTGAGTTAATTGCATGTGTTATATGTTATTTGTATTTATATATGTCTGTCGTAGAAATATCTGTTTGTGTTTCTGTTTTGTTCTATGCATTGAAGGCCTTATCGGCATCTGATCACGAAATTGACTTGGGTTAGGTGTTATTACGAATTTTTGGAAAATTATGCTAGGTTTAATTAAAATTCGATTCGGAACCAAATAATTAGAATTAAATAAGGCAAATTGGTAACCTTAAAGCCTAGCTTAATTAAATCCTTTAATCAAGCCTATATAAGGCTAATCTAATTGCTAAACTTTTCCATTACACTCTCATTTCCTCATCTTTGAGCCTAAAACGTGAGAGAGAGGGAGAAACCTGAAAAGATAGTGAATTCAAGCTCAAGGAAGGGAGTTATAGAGAACTGAGAGAACTTTTGGAAGAATTGGCTTGGAAACTCTAAGAATTAGTCAGCTAGAGCCCAATTGAGCACCTAACGTAAGAAATCAAGCTTTTAGTTTTGTAATTGAGTCGGTCCATGCATGAATTCAAGAGGTTAAAGTGGTTAAATAAGAGAATTCAACTTAAAGAGTAGAGTTTGAACTAACTGTAGACACCCCATTTTTGACCGACCTTAAGATTCAGACATCATCGATTAAGCGCTCGGTGATAGTGCATGTTGTGCTCGTTTCGAGTTTCCGAAGTTTTCGGCCGAGTGCCTTGCCTCCGAGCCTCTTAACTCTTTGTGTTTTGGCTAGGTTTGTGCACCAAGCCTTGTTTTCTCGCTTGGAGACTAGTTTCTGGTTTTCAGAGCCTTCGACCACGCGTCTTGTCTCAGGACCGCTTAACGTTCTCCGTTTGGCGTGGTTTTTGAACCACACTTTGTTGCCTCTGCCTAGAGGGACACTGTGGTCTTGGAGACCACTTTTTGTGGTCGTAGACCACTTTTGGTGCCCGTAGACTAGTTTTCAAGGTTCTCGGCTGCGCGCCTTGCCTCCCGGACTTTTGTCTTGCATCCTTTTTGGTTTGTTTTTGGCACAAACCTTGTTTTCCTTGCTTAGAGGGTGGAATAAGGGTGAGAGACCAGTTCTTCCCCTTGGAAACCATTTTCCTTCCTGCCAGCCAGTTTTCTGGTCGGCTAACTGATTTTCTTGATCTTTGGACCACCAATAGTGGTCGGCCACCACACTACTACCTTGATTTCAGTGTGCAGACCACCTTTCCACCATGGCCGACCACTTTCTTCCCTGGTCGACCACTTCCACTGGTCGGCCGACCAGTGTAAGTAGCTGGCCAACCACCTCAAGTGGTCAGCAGCTTTCCAGCACCTTTTTGGAGATATTTTCTAGCCAGCTGTAACAGCTGGATAGCACAGAAACCATCCTCCATACACGTGTATGGAGGGATGGCTTTAGGCCTTAAGCTTGTTCAACAAGCTTAACCTTTGGCTCTCTATAAAAGAGAATCTCCCCCCTCTTGCCTTAGGTTCAGATTTTGGTGCTTGAGCTATACATATCACTCTATCTCTATAATTCTCCATCTCTTTCATTTTTGTGCCTTAAAGTATAGTTTCTTCACACTTTTTCACACAAACACGTAGGGAAACACCATCCTATTGTTGCTAAGGCACTTTGAGGTTGATTTTGGAGTTTTTGGACTGGTTTGAGCTCAAAGAGGTTGCTAGAGTTGCAGCATTGAAGTGGTTCTACAAGGGTGAGTTACTATCCCTTAAAACCCTTGTTCTTGTTTAAGCTCTTGGACCTATTTGCATGCTTATTTTGGTTTGACTTTCTACTGCAGAAAGTTCTGATTTTTAGTCCTTAGCATGTTTGTTTAAGGTCTTTTTGGTGTTGGGGGTGATCTACCCCCTCTTGTGCCTTGTTTGGCTTTGTTTTACACCATCACTTTAGGCCCTTGAGATCACTTTCTCTTGACCTTTTAACTACTGAAATCTAGTGGATTTTCAGTGATAAAACTTGTGTTTTGAGGTCTTAAATAGGAGAGGGTCATCCCCTCTCCTTGTGTTTTGTATGCTTGCTTTCTATGCCTCATGTTTGAGCATGTTTGTTAAGCTTATGTTGGCTCCATCTTAGCATGTATTTGGAGTTATTTTGACATGGCATACCACTGTTTTGCTTTGGTTTTGTCAACTCATGCATGCTTTATACACTTGTAGTGTAAATTTTGCAAACTAGTTTTGTATGCTTCATGTTTGAGTAAGTCTTTCTAGCATGTTTTGAGTCCATCTCAGTAGGTTTTTGGTGTTGTTTTAACATGTCTTAGATCTTTTTTGGCTTGTTTTGATGGCCCCATGCATGCTCCATGCACTTGTAGTGCATTTCCATTTACTAGCCTAATGTGTATCATGCTTTAGACCATCATT